TTATTACACCGAACGATTTTTTATAATACGATGCTAATTTTTTTAAAACTAATTAAGAATGAAGAATATAACTAAAAAAATTTTCACTTTTTAAACTAGAATAAAAAGTCAGAAATTTACTTTTTTAATCGTAAATATTTCAGAAACAGAAAGCAAATATTTTTATTTTAATAATTTTAATAAATTTTTAATTAATTTATTAATAAAAATTTTTTGGACTTTAGTATAATTTGTTTTTTTTTTTAAGTTTATATTTCATTTTTTATTTAATGTTTGTAATAATAATTTATTTGGATTTTAAAAACTATTTTCATATTGTAATTTTATTTTTAAATTATTTATTTTTTATATATATTTCATGTTATTTTTAAGAGTAGGTAGGAAATAATCTTTATTATTATTTTTTTTTTAATTAAATAAAAATGATTTATAAATACATTTTAAGCTTAATATTTTATTTTGTGTAAAAATTCATTTTTTTTTTACAACATATAGTCAATGAAGAAGAAACTATATAAAAATATGAAATAAATTCCATATAAAGATTTTATTTGTTAAAGAAAGCATATATAGTACCAATATTAAAATATAATACAAAATAGAAAGAAATATATTACTAAAATAAATTACCTCAATTTTAATTTAATATTAATGGTAAAAATTTTTTATACCCTCATTTTTTTTTAATTCAACATAGCTTTTTTTATATATTATAGACTTTAAAAAAACATCAATTTTAAAAGACATTCATAGCAATCTGCTATTTTAATCGATTAGAAAATGCTAAAAAATTAAACTTTAATATTATATTTCAAATTAAATTAAACATTCAAGTATAGAAAAATTATGTGGTGTTGAATTTTTCATTTATATATAAATAATTTCCATTTTCAATATATCTCTATCATATGTAACTAATTTTCAATAAGGAAGAATGTTACTCCCGTATATACCAATTGGTTCCTATAATGTTGTCCACTTCTTGAAAACGCTACGCAAATATCTCAAAGATCTCAATTTCATATAATCAAAAATTTTGAATTCTTCATTATTTAAATTTATAAGTTATATTCAGTAATTTAAGAAAAATCACCTTAAATACATTTTTAATTTAAGCAAATTATTTTTTTTTTGTCACTCATTAATGTAAAATTATTATTAAATTTTTTTAATCTTTAATCTTCCATAATGTTAAATATTTAAAGAAAATTTTTTTATGGAAAATATTTTCAATATATGTATTTATTTTGTATTATTGTAAAATATAATTATAGTGAATTGTTTTAATTTTTAACATTATTTATAATAATTATTTATTATAATATTCATTAAATTAAAATATATATATACTTTTTAAGTAGTTTTAATTTAAATTTTTAAATCCATCAGGTGCTAGTGGCATCAGCCCATGTTGATACAATTTAAAAAAAATTATCAGTTAAAATTTTATTTTTAAATTTTATATATTTGACTTTCTCTGAAATATCATAAATAGCAAATATTTTATTATAATAATAAAAATTCAACAAAAAAAAAATATATATATATAAATATATTAAAAATACGTTCACTTTTATTTATAAAATTTTGTACATTTTTTCAACGATTTCGCGCTTAAAACAATATAAGAAACAGTTTAATAAAACATACAAAAAATAAATGTATAAAATAATAACAAAAAAAAAATAGTTTACGTATAACAAAAATTTATTAGTTTCTTTTTTAACTGATGCGATTATTATATATAGTATATATGCATTTTTTTCATATATCGAGAGTGAACCAGAATTTAAACATAATGAATTCAATAATGAAACATAGCAAAATAAAACAATTTATAGATAATTTATTTAAACCAAAGAAATAATTTAAAAACAAACAAAAAAATATGAAAAACAAATCGCTAACATTTATAAAAAAAAACAACAATTTTATTCGCATAATTTCAATAAAACAATAAAATATATAAATAATTAAAGGAAATACTAAAAATAAAGAAATAAAACCAAAAATGAAAATGAAAATAATTGAAATTGTCCACATTTCACAGACTACAAAGATCATTATTAAAACCATTCAAAACAACAATGGATATAAATAAAATAAATAAGTATAAAAGATTAGTTATTATTGTTATAAATAATTATTAAAATTATTGAAAAAAAGCAAGCAACTTAAAAAATAATTTTTTTCAAATACAAGATGAAATATGAAAAATAAATTAAATGCAGTTTTTTAAATTTTCTTATATATAAAATGTTTATGAGACCCTCCTTTTTTTTTTTTGTTTTTTTGTGGTGAGGAGGTGGAATACCTTATGCACCGTAAAACCGACCGTCGTCGGAATGGTGTGCCCGACTCCTTAACATTAATATGTATGTTAGTATACGGACTAAAACACTACCTCTTCAGCGAGACTTATTCCCCCTCAGAACCGCTTTCGCATTACTTCGAGGATGGTCTCTTTTATGTTGGCATTTCAAGCCACGCTCTCTTGAGTTTCAATTTGCGTCCAGACCACCACTTTTCACCGCATTTTCTTGGTGTCCACACTATTCATTATATTTTTTATTCTAGTTTCTAGTTCTCCTTTCTAAATCCAATTTCTTTGTTTTACGAACTTGAAGCACATATGACTCTATCGTTCACCAAGTCTCTGGGTCCGCTTTCATCTTTTCCACTATATTTTCGGGATTTATAAGTCCAACCTGCGCTATTATCTCTTCTCTATTTGTGAGCCACCTATTACAGTAAAAGAAGGATGACACCCTTCTATGCTTCACGAAGAATTAACGGAACCAAGTACAATATATATAAAATATTTACATAATGAATAATAAACTTAATTAGTTATATATGAAATAAGTGGAATTCATCCAATAAATATTATTGGAAATATATAGACTGCAATTGAGATAAAAAGAACGACTGTATTATTATCAGCTAATAGATTATAGAAGAAAAAAATCTTCAGTACTTCTTAACATATATGGAACTGAGTCGATCAGTTATAAAATTAATTACATCACCGATAGAATAATGAGACCAAAGGAAGATATAGACACTATTGACCAAAAATGCAGTAAAATTAAAACTTACAAAGATAGTGCAACATAAAATCCTATGCCCATCGATATATAAAAGTAAAAGCACTAATATATACTAATAATAATACATAATGATTTCCACTTCAGTTGGTTGATGAACAGTCGAGGAAAAATATATCGTCTAATTTACAAGAGATAATAATGAATCTAACCGTGAAAAAGTTAATATTGCATCTAACTTTGAAGACAATATAAAAGAAGAAGATATTTAGGTTGGAAAGAAAGCCATTTAGAAAGACACTATATCTGGTAACGATATTATTTACAAGCATAATGAAAAGAAATATTTTGGATAATGTGAATAGGTTAATGTGAATGATGAATATGGCAAGGGCATAAGCGTATCAAAAGGGGACATATAGAGCGTGGTTCTCTTGATGTATGCCTGAAGTTATAGTTGATGAAAAGAAATGATTTATGGACTCCCTTAAATGTATTAGATTGACAGAATATATGGCAATGTCAATATGCAGCGAGACCTACATATATTAATTAACAGATATCTATTAATCATGATTTAAAAATACTGTACAATCAAAAAATCTCTATTAACATATAAATTTATATTAACATATAATTTACTAAAACTTAGTAATCTTTATTATATCTAGTAAGTGATAGATAGGGTAAGTGGTAGTGATTGATGGGCACAAGGAACAATTTTATAAAAAATAATTACCAAATATTATTCATATAAAATTAAAACTAATTTTATATGAATAATATTTTTGTTTTTGCTAATCTTTTATTATAAAATTGTTTCTTGAGCCCATCAATCAATACCTCTTTCCCGGTTTTTTCATTCTGGCTACGCCCTTAGATGGAGAGCTGTAGGTTTAATCTGTAGCCAAGCTCAGGAACATAGTAATCTCTGTGGATGGGCATTACAGATCATTCCTTGTTAGATCTAAGCGTGCTATTAAATAGTTGAGCAGATGTATGACGTCATGGAGATAGATGATTTAATTCGTGATAAGTTACTATTTGATACGTACCTATACCCTAAGCAAAAAAGGAATTAATTTTTTGCATTTCTGTAAATCGTAAATAAGTAATCGCAAAAAAACTAAATGGGAGGGCAAAAATAATAGGAAATGGGTGTGTTATGAAGTTTGCTGAAATTTTTTCAATTTAAAGAAATAAAATTTATGATATCTACAGAGACTCGTTGGCAGTGAAAAAAACTTTAGTCATAAATCATAAAATCTTAAAGTTTTCGTGCTACATTATTATTCCTTCCCTTCACCGCTTTTACAATATATGTTAAAGTGTACGCAACATAAAAGCCACCACTTTTGGGGTCTCACGTTAAGGATGAAAGTTGTTTACCTTATCCACATGTTTACAAAAAAGGTGAAGCAAAACAAAAACAAATTTCAAACATAACAAAAACAAATCGTTTAAATTCCACCAAAACAGCTGTTGCAGGTTTTGGTGAACTCATGCGCAGATATTGATTATATGTCATGTGAATAGCTCTTCTGTTCGGTGGAACGAAACAATACAAGAAACAACCCTAAGTACGGTTAAACAGGCGGCGGACTAAGGGCATATGAACGCGCTGTAACCGAATCAGTATACATGTTGTGTGGTCTAAAAGCGGAAGTTCCGAGTACATCGAGAATTCTAAGCAGCAAAAATATGCAGCTTGAATTAGTGAATTTAACAGTTTTTGTGATTAATTTAATCAATAATTAAAAAATTTATTAATTCAATCCGTTTGTTTAATTAATGAAAAGCGATAAGTTATGTCTTCAATTTAATATTTAATTGTGCAAGAAAAAAAAAAGAAATTGCATTCCTTGAACATATGCACACACATCTATTTATAGTGCATATATAGATTCTATATCTACTTAGAGTTCATCTAGTGAAAGTGAATTTATAGTTTTAATTAGAATCTTCAAATAACAAAACAATGGATGTTCCCATATCCATATTGCTGTTGATTTGTTTAATTTTCATGATAATTGGCGCCGTGTCGATGTTGCTACTGCAGTATTATGTATACGTCAAGTTCGCCAACATGCCCGAAGAGAGTGAGGAACAGAAAAATATGAATGCCAAGTATTCACTGCCAATGGTAAGAACAAGGCGAAATAATGAAACAGAAATGTTTTCACATGAAATTATATTTATTTTTCATTTTTAGGCAATACAAAAAACAGCACGTACTATTAATGCAACTCCCTCCTCGGCTTCGGCACTGAATGCCACCAATGACGCGCTCTCAGCGCCTTTGTTTGCTGTGAATTTTGTTATGCAGTTTCTGTTCCATGAATTAAAGAGTTCCAATCGAGTGCGAAAGTGGTTCTATCGCAAACTTTCACTCGAATTGGATGAATTAATTGCCAAAACGACAACTGGCAAATTGTTTGACAAACTAACGGTAAGTCAACATAACTGTCATCGAGTCATTGGGGTAACTTAGGGCACTTGACATACTACTGAACTGTCCACAACTGCACAAAGATACATATATACTTCGACAAAGGTATCTGAAAATGTCTTCTATCATCGAATTTAATACATGACATTTTTTGTATTTGTTGGGAGGGTCAACATTGGGAACGTGGCTTTAATATGTCGTGATTCAGTAGATTTTAGTGTAAATATAAAACAATTAGCCATTAACCACGCAAGTACATATTAAAATAGAAACTTTTTCAATTCAAAAATTTACAATAAAATTTTTTTTATTGCACATTAAAAAATTATCTTACTATTTACAATTTTATCGTATATAATTATTCATTTTTTATAGCTATTTATAGCACTTGTAATTGTTCTGTGTTAGCTATTTTCTCTGATATAAATTTCTTATATTGTTTCAATATAAATTATAAACTGTGAGTTATGAATTATAGATTAACCTTATTCATAACAAATAGCAACTTTTCTTATACCTCTGGGAAGTGCAGTATACTCATTTGATCGACACTGGAAAAACCTAATAATCTACATAAATTTTATAGTGAAAATAAACAGTACACTATCGTACTGAATTGCTCATATTCGAAATAACTTGAGTTAAATTATTATATATTCTCATAATAGAATAATTGCCGATATCCGTTCTCTCGTATTTTAAACCAGTGAACAAAACAAAAACTTCACAGTACCAAATATAGTGTACTATTTTGTATTTTTGCTATAAATAAATCTTCTATGAATAACACACTAAATAAAAACCCACATACAATATACACAATAACGAACAAAGTGTACTGTTTTGTATTTTTTTGGAAAAACAATTTACAAACAACACACTAAATATCAAACACACTAAATATCAAACACTAAATAAACAAACAAACATCAAACAATTTCTAGTGTTTGTGTTCACTAATGCAATCACAAACGGTACACTATAGTGTTCATGAACACAAACACTAAGCATTTTTTGATTTGTTTCAGAGTTTATTTAGTATATTGTTCGAGTAGAATTTTGTGAAACAATAGCCTATTGGTTTGGTACAGTACAGTTTAATTTCTTTCAGTAGTTTAATATATGCTAGAACAGATATGAACAAATCTTCTGCAGTAATATTAAGAGCATATACCTACCATAATAATTAGACTAAAGTTGAATATAAAATTCGGAAGTATTTGATGATATGTTTTAATAATTATCATTGGCGTATATAGAGGGTGCATCAATTAAATAGATCCTCTCCCTTGACAATATAATCTATAGATAATACAAACTGTACTGCTATGACATATATTTGCCTAATGTATAAGTACTTATATTAACTAGAATTGTTCATATTTGAATCATTAGAAATATTGGGGGAACTTGTTAACTTATAAAAATAACTGTTAAAAAAATTAACTAAATAATTTTGTTTCAATAATACTCTTGAAAATTACATTCATAAGAATATTACCTTCTATATACAGTGGGTATATAAGACGGTATAATTATGAATCAATACTTTTTTGTGTGTTATAATGGGCAAGTGTCACCCTACCTAACCTAGATACAGATATTTATTAATTTCACTATTTACGTATCAATAAAATAGCTGCTAGTGCAATACAGAATTACAAATTTATATAATACAATAGCCAGTGATTATACCTAGCTTATGGTACGCAGTATTACAGATATAAATTTCACAAGATCAGTTTTAAAAATTACTATGTAGTATAGTCACTCCCAGTTTAATCGTGCGTTGGATGTAACTTTTATTAAAATTAATATTGTGAACTACCAAAAGAAACTTAGAAACGACTATTAGTTTCTATGATATACCACACCGCTCCCCTTAGCACTATTCTCTAAATACTATTATAATGAATTTCGTGATCTGCAAAACATAGTGACTACGCCATTGTCCCGAGAGTGCAGTGAGCTTTTAAGCCATACGTAAGACGCATCGCATGCTTCCACTACTTCTTATAGACGTACCTATAAGAACTAGATATAATCTTGGTATCTATAATATTCCACAATAATTTAAAAAGACACCTATTGCTTTTGAAATTTGATATGTATTTTCATATAATATACATATAAATTGGTCTTTTGAATACTGTTTTGAGAAAGTTTCTTCATAAGTGGGAGAAATTGTACTCATTAATTTAAATAAAAGTTAGAATGGTTCAGCTAACGATGAGTACATCGGAACGATAGCAATTCTGGAAACAGCTTGGTATGGCCACACAAATTTCAATAAATTAATTAAAACTTTTGTTGTTGTTTCTTAATTACTGTTCTAATCCTTCTAACGTATAAATAGTTTATTGTCGTTATAAGATGCGTGATATTCGACATTAAAAGTAAACATTTAGTAGAGATATAATTTTAAATATGATTTAAAAATAACTATAACATTTTTTTTAAACATCTTTCTTTTTTTTTAATTAATAGTTCGGTAACAATTAATTCTACTTTAAACTCTTATCTTCATCTTTTCCAATATTAAATTTCTAGTGATTTTAAATCAGTAAATATTTACATAACCCATATTTTTTAAAAGTCCCTTCTTTCTCTTTTCCTGATGGGTAACATTCGGACAAAAGATTGTTCCGTTGGAACTAGTGGGGATTTTGTATTTTCTAATTTCTTTCTTTTTTACTACATAATGCGGTTCAACGATTTTATCTAGTGGTCCAGAACAATTGTCGTCTTTAATTGGCTATATATCACTCGATTGAAAATATTCAATGTGCAGGGTATTATTTTAATATTTCAAAAACTAAAAGACTAGTTTGTCTACTAACATCCAAATGAACGAAAAGGCAGTCAGATATATACCATATAGCTTAATGGACTTAGATAGCGATATTGAAATCTCGATCGGCACAATATTTAGTATAAACTTATCTATTTTTATATTGTGCCAACTAAAATTTGAATATCGCTAACTAAATCGATTAAGCTATGGGTTCCTATAAATCTGGCTAAGATTTGAGTATCGCTAACTAAGTCGATTAAGCTATGGGTTCTTATATATCTGACTGCCTTTTCATACAAATTAATTATTTAATTACAACAGTTGCCATTTTAATGATTAGTTTTAATGAAATCATTGTTTAAGACAACAATTAATCCTCACAATTTCAATAAATTTCTCCCTTTCCCCCAAAAATAAAAAATCCGCCTAAAGGTGTTAGGAAATATTTTAGTAAAATGTTAATTAGAAGTGGCAAAATTAAACAAAAAAATGTTGAAGGCTGTAAACAACATGAGAACATTGTAAACAAACATTTTAAAATGATACACACAGAGCACAGTAAGCAGGAAGAGGAGGCTTAAAGGTCGTTAGGTGAATGTGGGTTACCATCGTTCATGTAACACGGCAGAGCTTGATGTGCCTGTGTTGAAAAGAAAAGAACATTCAAGCACTGTGTGAATGCAAATAATGATGCCGTCGAGTAGGCACGTTGAGGTTAATGCTGTGAATTCATTTACAGTCCTTAGAGCACACACCTAAGACTAATGAAAAACCAACAAACAACACAATAAACAATTAAGTTTAAATGTGATTAGTTGCTGTCACTGCCGGTATTTGCTATTGTGGTTAAGATACTGACACTCTCACATCAAGTGTTTGTGTTTTATTTGTACGTGTTAATGTTTATTGGTTTACTTCCAGATAAAGGAACTTGAGTTGGGTGATCAATTTCCTGAGATAAAAACGCTGCGGGTACACAATGTTGAACTCGATGACACTGAGGGGCTTATTGAGAATCTAGATTTGTTGCTGGAAATACACTACACAGGAAATTTTCGTACTTCAATTGATGCGGACATGGTACTTGGAAAAAAAGGTTCACTAACATTAAGAGGTAAACGTGTGTGATTAATATGTTTTCACTAACGTGTTCACTTTTTATTTATATTTTTATAAATAATAGTGTCTCAAAATTAAATAAAACACAGGTTTTTTCTATAAATTATTATTTCTTTTTTTTTTTTGACTTATAAAGTGGACAGTATAGGCTTATATATGGAATAATATACAAGTCAATCATAAATGGGTTCTTTGAACCACAAATGCAGCAATATTTACAATTCGTTGAAAATGATTTTGTTCCAGAAATCGGGACCGCTCATTAATTTTCAATAATTAGTTTAATAAATTCTCTTTGCAGTGCATTGCCATTAGTCGGCAGTTCTCCTATCGATTGAACTTTATAAGCATGATGACACAGATCTTCAGTGCCTAATATGCAATTCTTGTCCATAACGTCGAATTGGTGTTTCTGGACTTTTACCAAACTTACGCTCTACTTACGCTCGACCATATTTTTCGACCCTGAAAAAAAATCTGTGACCGCAAGACTCAAATTATTTTTGAAATATTGTTCAACAAAGAATATATCTTGTTTTATTATATGTTTCCACTGCCTACGTTCAAGTAGTTTATTTAATTTAGGTTGCTAATGAAGTTTGATTAATGATACAAAGAGCTTTTGTACTTTTTAATTAGTGAAAAATAAATCAATAGAAAATACACCAAAAGGGAAATGATCGAAAATCAAACAAACAAGATAATTTTCTTAAATGTTTGTTTTTTATAAATAAATATTCACATTTCCCGCATATTCCATTATCTATTAATTAATTTCTGCTAACAAAACAAACAAACCCTCTCCAAGAACTTTTACAGAACTTTATAACATATGCAGCTCTTGTGCATGCATATATCAACTTATGCCAATGGAAACGACCAAATCTTAATTTGATTAACATAAATCAATTTAGCTGCAGTGGGAACATGGTACTACCCTACACCGTAAACAATCAGCTATCAAATGATTTTGTCACATGGTTGCCAACTGTCTCCATTACTGTATGAATGGAGACAAATTCAAATCTTGCGTTAATTTTGGGACAACATTTGTAGATGTTTTACTGTCACTATATTTTATTAGGATTTATTTACGAATAGGTTACGAATAGTAGTAAATTGTAGTAACATTTTTATTTTTATTTATTTTTTTGATTTATTGAATTTTTGGCTGACCATATAGGTGTTGATCGAAACCTCTCTATTAAATATATTAGTTTATGTTAAGTAAAATAATCACTAACGTTAAAATCAAATTTAATATATATTTTATTAAATAATATATTTAATTTTTATACAATTACAGTAAAGCAGCTATCTGGTTTAGCGCGACTGCAGTTCACCAGAAAACCGTACACTCATTGGTCATTAAGTTTTCTCGGTGATCCGGAAATTGATTTGGCCGTGGAGTCGAAATATCAAGGTCGTCAAATGCAATCAAACATAACTAGTTTGATATCGAATCAAATACGTAAGGCGGTACGTCGCAAACACACTTTGCCAAATTACAAACTACGCTATAAACCATTTTTTCATAAAACTCCTGAAGAAGATTTGGGGGACAACGAAATACAATCAAATGGCCTACTGGATGTAAAAGTATCAGAACTTTCCCGTCTTATGTGCCCAACGCATATCACTGACATTTATTGCACACTTACTATGGCATCATTGGCCTTTGTAGAAGCACGTCAGAAAGATGATCGCAATGTTATAGTCTCCTTAGATGTGGAGATACATAAGGCGAAGAATCAGCAAATTGGCATTATATTCAAACAAACTGAGCTTTTCGTAGAAATCGATGCTGTTCTACCAAATACTCCAGCTTGTAAATCAAATTTAAGATCGAATGATGTATTAATTGCTATCGAAGGAAAACGTGTCTCTACCATACAGCAAGTGGCAAAAATTGTTAAGGCATTGCAAACTTCAGTATTCACTTTACGTATAGAACGTATTATACCAGGTATTATACGCAATGATGCTATACTGGAAGACCTGGAGCTATATGAGGATCTTGGTGATTTAAGTAATGTTTACAGCAGCAACAAACCAAGTGATAATGAATTAAGTGTAAAGTATTTAGCAACCCGGCATGGATCTGGTGATAGAGGTACTTCAAGTGAGTCAAGTTTGGGAAATACACCAACTAGTTCACCGAAGAGGGTAAAACTCATACCAAGAGCATTAAAAAAGACTATAAGTCGTGATAGCACCGACAGCACTAAGGACGAGGATGCAAAAGGTAAAGCAAAACTAACTGCGAAAGTAGAGGAAAAGCCACGACGACGTTTGAAAAGTTTGGGTGATAGCGTAAATGATGTGGAACACTTTTATCAGCATTCCACGATAGACTGTAGACTCAGTCGTTTGGTGAACATGGAAGATTTAAGTAATTTCAAGTTGGATGCGCAGTGTAAATACTTAAATTGCTGTGTCTATGGTAAATGCTCTGGTGATAGCTTATTACTTGGCTTTGTCAATATACCAATTAATCAAATATTGGCGGAATGTTGTGAGACTAGTCTAACTCAATGCTGGAAAAAATATGAACTAAATCCGCCGATGATACAGAATTTGTAAGTTACAGCAAAATTCATGTTAATAATCTCTCGCTTAGAAAAACTTTTTTGTAGAAAATCCCATGAGCTATATAATCAGTCTGGTTTCAATGCAAATTTGTGCTATGGCGATATACTTTTTGCTTTCTCTTGGGATGGTAATCCGAATTTGGCTGCTGTTGAAACACCTTCCAAGCAGGCAATGAAAATAAAAACAAAGTAAGTTTATTTAAATAAATATACTGAATAACCTATACAGTTTAACATTATGAATTCATTTTAGGAACTCGCAAGCAGAGAGACATGATGACAGTGGCTTTTCGGATAATATTTCCATAAAGTCCACTTCAACTGATTTAACAACTTCCACAATCAGTTTGGTTCCACCACGCGCTCATAATTTCATACGCACACATTTCCAACGTGCAACTCAATGCGATTTTTGTGGCAAGAAAATTTGGTTGAAGGATGCTGTACAGTGTCGGGAATGTTTTATGTGTTGCCATAAAAAATGCGTCACAAAATGTCAGAACTCAACGGTTTGTGGGCCAGTTGACTGCACCAATTCAATTTCACAGACACAGGCTTACACCACAAATACACCAGAGTTCACGGTAACTGAAGCTACTGCATATGAGGCAACTGAAAATGATGAAATACCACCAAATATCAGTGATGATGAGCAAAATCAACCGAAAACTCCCGGTCTGGAAGTACATCGCTCCAGTTTGTCTGGCCTGTTAGCACAAGGTATTAAACGTGTCAATTCTGCTAATAATTTGGCTATTCCTGGTATTGTGTCAACATTTGCGGGCGGCAATAATGCTTCCAGCAATAATGGTAATTCCAGCAACTTGACAAATACAAAAAGTCTGCCACCGAGCCCACAACGTACTCCGTCAAGGTAACGATGGTGCTTTCTATATTCCATGTTTTTTGATTTTACTTTTTATTCCACTCTTAAGGAAAGCATCTTTAATCTGCACAAATCAAAATCCATTTGAACAAGTCACACAAAGGCTAGAACAGATTTCCGCAGAACTTACTGAGCTGAGTGCAGAGCAAATAAGTTGTGTAACTGAACCGATAATACTGATCTCAAAAGAGGAAGATCTGATGACGCTCGCAAAAACTGCCAGTAAAAATCTTTATTGTGAAATTGCTGGCATTGACAGAGTTGATAAAATAAATTTACTGGTAAGGAAAAGTATATATCTTTGTTTATTAAATACAAATTTATTAATTTTTAAAATTTTTTTTTTTATTAGTTAAGTAAACTTCGTTTAGCTTTGGACAGTGAGACGGCAGTACATTCCTCATTATCTGTCATCTCGAAAACCGATTCCATCGACGGCAACTCAACACAAAAGAAACTCATTAACAAATCAACTATGTTATTCAAATCCGAAGAAAGGGTCCAGGCCCTGAGTGTTATAATGCTTTACTTGTGCACTGGTCTGCAGCATGCACAGGGCGTGGCATCCCAGTAGAAATACAAATGTTACTCATTAATTATAATTGTAAGGCTGATGTTCTAAATGTGGAATTTTATGTAGCACCATTAAAAGTATTAAACAAATCTTAGTGCGTAAATCGTATTATTTTTAAGCACAATTTTAATGTTTAAATTTTTAATTAACCATTATTACATATACGAGTATATACATACCTACAAAGACAACTCACAACAAATCAGACAGTGAAGGAATAAAGTATATTATTTATTAAAAACATATTTTAAAAATACGTATTTTAACTAGAATATTTTATTAAACGTTACGAAATTTACCTTAAACAATGCATTTTGTCTGAGCATTCGAAATAAACAAAAGCCTTTGAGAATTCAATTAAACTTAATATAATTATATAGATTATTATATATTACAGTACGTAGAACTACAATTTTTTTATTAAATATATTAAATTATTTATTATTATATACAAATATGTTTACTTTGATGTTTGGAACAAAACTTATTAACAAATTATTGAAAGTAGAATTTTAAATGTTTAAAAACAACAACAAATTACATTGTTAATTTTTATTTAATTATGTTTATAGAAATATATGTAATTTAAACATAAAAAATAAACGTAATTTTTATTGTGACAAGCATATACAACAGTTAAGAGCACATATTAATATATGTATATAGCAGCATATTAGTATGTATCAGTTATTAGTATGTACCGGTATATATAAAGTATATACCTTGTGAACAAAAAAGAACTTATTCGTTCTTTTTTTGAATTCCCGCGCTAATCGATTGGGAATTTTTTTTATTTTCACGCTGGCAACACTATTCTACACATTTTGTCAAAATTTAACGCATATCGTACGATTAGTTCTTGTTTGGGGTCTGTAGAAAGAAGTCGAAAAATTTTCGTGTGGCGATTCTTAGCTGAATTTCATTCAAAAAAAGCATAGTTGTCATGTGGCCAAAGAGATGATTTCCAACGCAGAAACGCAGATAGTGACCCCACATTCATCGAACGCATCATAAGTGGTGATGAGACATGGGTCTATCTAACTATGAAGTTGACATGCCCACCAAACAACAATCGACCGAATGGTGTTTCGAAGGTGAGCCGAAATCGAAAAGAGAACGCCAAGGTCGGTCCAAAATCAAGGTTTTTTTGACTGTTTTCTTCGATATTCGTGGTGTAGTGCACTATGAATTCCTTCCCGACGGTTAAACGGTCAATAAGGAGTATTATTTTGCCATTATGCGTCGTTTGCGTGAGACCATTCGCAAAAAGACGCCAGATTTATGAAAGAAAAACTCATGGATTTTACACCACGATAACGCAACGGCTCACACAGCATTGGTTGTTGTTGGTTGTGTCCACCAATATCATCAACCAAGCACCGTACTCTCCAGATATGGCCACGTGTGATCTTATCCTCTTCCACCGACTCAAATTGTCATTGTGAGGAACGCGTTTTGATATCATAGTGGCCATAAAAGAGAATTCGCTGCGTGAACTAAAGGTCATACCTTCGGCGGCCTATAAAATTTGTATGGAAAATTAGATCAAGCTTTGACTTGCATGTACTGCCGCAGGAGGAGAGTACTTTAAAGATGATAATAAAGAAAATTATTAAAAATTTAAATTTTGCGTGTTTTTTTAACTTCTCGTTCTTTTTTGACCAAATGGTGTATATTCCAGTATATGCATGTACATATATATTTATATACAAATATATTTATAAACCTGAATATATATAAACAAATATATGTATATAATAGTAAGCTGAAATTGAAAATATAGATCTTCCAAATATGTATCTTAAATAAATAATCTCCTTCATCAACCACGACGATTGGTTTTAAAACGTATGTTTTTATGACCGGATATCTAAAAACAAAACGATTGTTATGCGATACTTCAGTAGAAGAGAAAGTTCTGTCACCACTAAAAGAAATTATTTAACCAGAAGTGCCAAAGACATGATTTATATCAGTCGATATAACTGAGGTACAACTTGTCCAGATAATCAAAGATTCTGCTACACATGACCTTTGAAAAATCGATTTTTTTATGCTGCGAACACACCGACACTGTTCAAAAAGTATACATCCAAAACGGTACAATATTTAAAAAAAAATGAATTGATAAGTTATACATCGTAGCAGATATTGTAGGTTAGGTTGTACCAGCGATCCATTGGCGCATAGTGTTACTATACAAAGGAAAAAAATTAGAAACACCTTGAACGATTAGCAATGCTTAAATTGCTGGTCAAAAAAGAAACCCCTAAAGTAGTAAGTCCACGCCGCGTATATACTAAACAGGAACAAAGCAGATGAGATCTATTTTCATAATCCTCTTCACAACTGCGACAGATATAATTAAAAGGGAGATTTAATCTTCTAACATAGTTTTCTGATCTGCAATCGCTTGTGAGTAAACCTAAAAGAAGACTGATATCTGTACGGGGCATCGCAATAACAATATTGAATTTCTTTTTAATAGAACGTGGCCGAATTGCCATTACAGATGCCTATATACTATTAAATGTCTCTTTTTAGAAAAGGGCTTAACTATATACTAATAACCCTATGTAATGGGTAGCAGTATGAGTTGTGGAGTTTTGTAGGAACGGAAAGAATCTATATATTATAGGCTTTCTAATCACTGCAGTGTTTTTCATACAGAAGTAATCCCTATTTGTGACAATATGTATAATATCCCTAATAGCTGTTTCTGAAACACTGACAAGAACAAAAACTCGACTATAACTTGCAAAAGAAAACACAGATCTAGAGATATTTATCTGTTTTTGGATTATACTGTGAGCACAAGATATTGAGGGTATAAATAAAATTATATATCGTTGACAATAAAACTTGCGATAATAAAAAAACTAGAAGCTCCGCATACGATAGAGACACTTTGAGAGGAGTATTGCGTCGCACCGAACGCCAAAGACAGGATATTTTGGGTAAGTGAGTAAATAACAGCTCGTTGACCATACTTGATTGACCATAAATATTGCATATTTAACATTTCAAAAAAAAGAAATGAGTAAGTTACCATGTCTAAATTAGTTCATATAACCGAACGTCTACTATATATTACTCAAACCCTCTGACCAAACAGGAGAAGCATCTAACACCAAGAAATATAAAACGTTGATTGAACTGTCAAGCTCTAAAAAAAACATCACCCTACGAAGTCCAAAAAATTGATATATATGTTATATATTAAAAACAAGTTATTCTTAGAAGCTTTGATGTGATTTGTTAAGAGTTTTGGGGCTCAGAACTGTCTTTTGAATCTAGTTTCTTTGAAAAGAAAAAAATTGATGATGATCTTATAAGTGAAAGTGTTGTTTAAAAATAAATTTAATAAAAAATATTTTTTTTTGTTTTGTTTTATTATTCCATAAATATTAAAACTTTCATGGATATCTAGTAATACTTTTAACAAATGAAGTTTGGAAGTTTAAGTCATCTTAAATCATCATTTAAGATAACATATTAATGATAATTTTAATACATTTCAAACAATTTAATACATAAATAATTTTTTTGTCAATAAATTATACTTAAGTAGGTTGAAAGTATGCGTTTTAGACAGTTTTTGTACCCAAGTTCCAAGGCACAGATAGTCTTCTCTTTATGTATAGTTGCGATTTTCAGGTCTTTCTGAATATCGTCGTTTGTGATGTATCATCTAGCATCTACTATTGTTCGCAGGATTTTTGATTTTGTAATCTCAAAATATGTTTAAATTCATTTGCTTAAAAATTAATTAATTTTATTTTAATTTTTTTTTTTTATTTTAAAACTGAAATCCTACAATAATGCCAACATAGGTCGAATACTTGCAACAAAGAAAAAGACAAATTTCTACTTCCGAAAAATATATACATTTTATCTACTATATACAGTGGCGGCGTTAGGAGTCAGCGATGTTGACGACCGCCGACGGCCTCGCGCCTACAGGGGTCTCGTAAAACCAAAAGCATGTTCACAGTTTCAGTCAGTACATCGTGTGCGGAAAGAAGCTTCTCCAACTTAAAATTGATTAAGACCTACTTATGAAGTATGATGATCCAAGAGAGACTATCTCTATTGGCAAGACTATAAACTGAATCGAAAATAGCAGATATAATTTAAAAATCATTTGAGTGAGGCTAAAAATAGGAAAATTTATTTATTTTAATTTGTGTTTATTTTCATTTGATTAGCAATAAAACTTTCATATATCCCTCGTGGTATTAGTGAATGTAACTTATTTACTTTTATACCTGGGTAATAAAAGGGACCTCGCAATTCTGATGTCGCCGACGTCCAGAGTTGGTCTAACTCCGCCACTGACTATATAATAAGTAATAAAGCATTGACTTTTAAGTTAATAAAATTTTACACCCCAACGATTAATTATAATAATTCTGGTAATTATTGCAGGTAAAGGAACCTCGAAAAAAATTAAAAACAGGAATTTCTGTCGCTTCCGATATCTATTGTATCATAATTAATTGTCAAAACTTTTTACAAGGAAAATGTTGACAGTTTTTTTTGAAAGAAATTCAGTTCCTGAAGCCTGAACAAAACATAATAAGTCAATCAAAAATGTTTCATTTTTATATATGATTTTTATTATAATTTTTTTTCGATCCTTTGTTTTCAGTTGTTCAGTCTTTTTACTCGTACTGTGTTTACACGCTGAATAACAACCACAAAAAAATTAATAATTTAAGTGAAAATAAATAAAATCTTTGACCGAGTCATGGCGCAGAGAAAAAATATCTTAAGTTGGCTACTCGCCAAAAAAAATTCATCTTGTATCTTTGCAATATTTTACACAACTTGCTGTGCGTCAGTTTAATAAAAACAGCTATGAAATAATTACGTTCTGTGTAAAAATCATATTCTGTTTACTCTCCACGTAAATGTACTCACTCATAACATTATAGGTCATATTTTCCACATATATGATTTAGATTTTCTATATATATACCTCAATTACTAAATAAATTGTTGGAGTCACACTACGTTTTTAAAACTAATTCTAGTCATAATTTTATTGTGATTAATTTCAATTTTTCACTTTTAATTCAACTAATCTTAAACAAAAATAAGATACAGCAGTTCACTAAAAATTTCTAGTACAAAATATTACGACAAAATTATTAATAAAAAATGTTTAAATATCTTTTCGGAATGTATAAGCAATGTAAAAACTATGTATAGTATCTGAATGACGAGCGCTAATCTGCATGAATTATTTTTCTATTATACATGCCAACTTAAAATAATGAAAATAGAAACTATATTGA